GTTTCCTACGTGGACTTTGCAATCAATAAGAGGATCTGGAGCTATTATTGGAAATATTTTGATTTTCTACTGCTGTTAGTCTGTTTTATATTTCATATGGTAGCCAACTCATGCTCAGATGCCATCGTCCCCTTTTTATCTAAAATTGTCTCGAGTGGGAATATATAGCAACAGATCATCTAACATAATAGTGGATTCTTCTTTAAAATATAATGATTCTTGAGTTTTGCATTCGTTAATTTTGGTAGTATTCTAATATTGAACCGTGAAATGGCAGGCCTCCCATTTCTGCTGAGCTTTTCATAACAAATGAAGCTGGTAAAAGGATAGATAATATATCTGTCTTGTCAGGCTTTCAGCTCCCTCTAACTCTGTGCATTCAACTAAGAAATATATCGCCAGATCAGCTGTCTCGCGTGTCGAAGTTGTACTGCATCCTTCACTCACGAACATCCTTTCAAATATTTAGTGAAAGCGAGGATAAGAAAGTACCAGAGTCCAGTTGTCAGGCTTGGAAAAGCAATCACATGGTAGACCTTAATGACAAGCTATTGCACTTTACAACAGGGTCTCCCAAGAGGGGTGGATTACATGCTATGGGAAGTGCTGAAGGGACTTCAGTTGTGGATAAATTTGTGTGTTTTGATCCTAATGAGAAAGGGCAAGGATTTTCAACCTGCTTGCTAGATGTTTCTGTGTTTCCTGTGGGTTCTTACCAAATCAAATGGCACAGCTGTTGTATAGACAATAATGGTGCTTACTGGAGCCTTATGCCCCTGAACAAAGATCAGTTCTTCACTGTACATGAATCTTCTAATATTGGTCCTTTAGTTGGAGTACCATAGACTGCAGGTATTTAGTTAAAGCCGGAATAAGTTATTTCTATATATTAGAAGAGCTAGGTTTCGACGTGTGTGCTTCGTGGAATTTAATTCAAACCTGAGGGCAATTTACATTTCAATTACTTAGTTGATATTGCTTCCTGCGGTGGCTTTTGTTTTTGCAGCCAACACATCTTCATTTCTTACTTAGCCGTATCTTATTCCTTCGTTTGTTTCCCTTCTCTTTAGTTTCTCAAAGATATACTCCAATTCATTTTGTTCTTGATGCTCTTTAAATCTGATATGAAACTTGGGGTTAGATAGTAAGGCATGAGGGAGAAGAGTGCAAGTCAGGAAGGAGAGACTATTTATAGCTCTTCACCGGAAGCAAAGGTGAACTTTCTCTCTTTCCTTTCTTTCCGTCTCAAGTGTTTGCTTTCCTCTATATTTAGTCAGGACTATGCAGCAGGCTTATTTGGGTTTCTGATTGTGGAATGCATGTATCTCTGTTGATTATGGTTGGAATCTTTTGGTTGACTGTGTTAGCTAATTTCATCTAAAACAACAGGTCAGGATACTTTAAATATCCAAATTCAAAATTTCAAACTTTGATGTAGTTCCATAATCTTCAGAGAATAGAGGATGGATTCTGTACTTAGATTTGGTGGCGATTTCCAAATGTAGAAGGGCTTGCCTGAAACTGTTGAGAAAGTGTATCAGTGAGAAGTTTAGCAAAAGATCCAGGAGAGTAACGTTTGCTAGGGTCATAAAATATAGGCTTAAGATAGTTGTTGGTGGAGCCATTGCTGCCTATGGAGACGAAAAACAGCGACCTTGACTGGTCACTTGAGAACTCAATTTGCTGTGAAAATCAATTCGCTCAGATAGATGCACGCACTTCCCCCTGCAAACACAAATTAAAAGCTGGCCCTGGTTAATATAATGGCTATAATTCAAATTAGCATTTTGTGTGTCTACTATAGCAAGTAAGACCCAAAAGTACTTCGTAAAAGTCTCTAATTCTATATTGACTGTCACTCTGCCCGTCACAATTAGAAGACAATTTACAGGTAATCGGTAATGAAAAGTAAATAATTAATCTAAAGAATAAGGATTGCCTGTTAAAAATACGTTAACTTCTTTGTCAAAAGTTCAATTTGTATGAGTATAAGTTATATGCCTTGACAACGTATAATTCTTGATAGCATACAATTATAAATACAGATGTCTTTATTACCATCAGAATAGTATATTAACTATTGGTATTTAATGTATGAACGATTAGGTGCAAAGCCTACATGCTTACAACAGCTACTAGAGGATAAAATATAGTACCTAATTAGTTTACCCTATTATGAAGTAAATATGCCAAAAATATACTTATGAATAATGTCATTTACCCGACAGGATCAACAAGAGAGTCAGTACTTACTACAAAGCGAAGTTTGTATATAACATTTTATTAGGATCGATAACGATTATATTTTCGCTGGAGAAGTTGAAGACTTATGTGCATATAAACTTTCTTTCACTTAAAATGTTACATCTATTAAAATTTTAATTATTTATAAGCTGGATTAGTAGAATAGTCTTACTGAATGTTCACTTTTGTAACCATGGAATTTTGTCCTAAGTTATATGCCAGGAACATTACCAACATAATTGCAAAAACTGAATTTTCTGATGCATATTCTTGTATAATATTCTTAAAACTTTGATGCTCTTTTGTCTTTTGATGGGAATGACTGGCATATGAATATGTTGCACAGACACATCAAAGTTTGGAGTCAAAATAATAGTCACTGCACTTTCCAATTAAAAAATTTGTACGGGGATATTATCTGAAAGAGTTCATGCTGAGTCCAAGTCATAAGATTCATTAGGATATAAGTGTTTTGCTGAGTCCAAGTCATAAGGTTCATTAGGATATAAGTGTTTCCGTATCTCCGCATATTTTCCTTTTTTTAGAGATGGGGAATCAGAATTCGAAGTAAGAGAAACAACTTTTATTTATTGTGCCTGGATACACCTTTTATGTACAGTCTTACACAATGATAAACCATAACTGGTATTGCAGGTGTCACACACCTTGTGCTGAATATACAATGTTTCTCCTTGGATATACCATTGATATACAGTCTTACAAAAATCACATGCCTATAATATATCTGAGAAGATTTACTACGAACAAGGTTCAATCTTCCACTTTTGAATAATCAAAAAGCAAGGTTGCAACAAGGTAAGTCAATCTAGAAAAGATACTTCGATTGAATGTTATTTATTGGTTTGGTCGCCACTCGCCAGTGAAAGGCCTTTTGCTACTATTTTGGGTTGCTACTGGATCCACTTTTTGCTGATGTTTCTGGATGCAATTGAAGCCACTTATGCTGCTGCTTCTTGGATGTTACTACAAACACCTTTAAAGTTGTTCTGGATGCGGGTGGAACTACTTTTGTTGCTCTTTTTCTAGATGCTGTACAGTCATTTTTTGTTGTTGTACTATTAGGTTAGTCCAGCTGGTTACACATCAAACTCTTCAGTACTTTTAACTTCTAAGATCCAGGTCCATTCATTTTTGTTTCCTTCTGTATATGCTCTGTGTTCTCTGGCTTTAGTTTCGAGCAGTCTTACTGAAGATATTTAGTATCATAATCAAACCATAATATCCCTTGAAAACAACTATTCAACTAGGGGTTGAAAGGGGTATGCTAGCAGCTCTTTTGTGGGTCTGCCATTTTCCCGTCGCTATATCTCTGTACAATAACAGCGTAATCAATCAGCTTGTAAAGAGCTATTGGATTTGCATTGAAAAGCTCTTCTTGACTGTTTTTTTATGGTAGCATCAAGGTATTCTCTCTATATGAAGTGCGAGTACTTGACAAAAGGTTCTTTTTCATCCACAAAAATGCTAACTTAAAGCAGCAGTTTAGAAAAGTGAAAAATACTAACCTAATAAAGGCACAAATATCAGTCGATCTCTAAACACTTCAATTCGAAAGCATTTTATTCCTCCACTTCCTTCACTTTATTGTTAGCTTTATACACCCTTTCTCTGTGTCTTTTTGTATTTTCTTATTATAATTTTTTCTCTTGTAAGGTTAAGAGTACCATAGTTAATATTTGTTACTCTTCTCCTCTTGGTAAAAGGAGCTATCATGGTTTACTATATGATTATTGGTCAAATTTCATCCTTTCTGCTCAAGATTGTGAGTATTTGTTAGCTCTAACAAGGAGGTAAGGGTAGTGCAAAAGCTTAAGCTTTTTGCTCTTTGTTATTTCCTTCAAGAAAGCTCTTTTACTCTTACATTGTTCTACCCATTTTGAGATTGAGAGCTTTTGGCTTGATAAAACCAATTAATGGTTTACAAAATCAGTATTTAAAGGCCAGAATTGTGATTTTGATAGATTGGTAAGGCTGAACAAATATAAATAGCAGGTTCCTTTCACACCGTCTCTGGTACTTGTGTCTGTTTGAATTTGCCTGCACATAGATGAACTATATCTTCTGTTGTCCAAACATTGTTAGATTTGGTGAAACTATTGATCTTATAGAATTAATTGAGTTAAATACTCAGAAAAGGTTCTGATAGTGTATTTCGCATGCTCCGTTATGCTTTACTCTCTTAAATTACTTTGTCTTTTTGCTTTTTCCAAATTGAATCTGTTGAGATTCATGAAGGCTGCTACCATTTAAATGTGTCCTCTTTTCTTCCACCTTGACACCTTCACTTTGACAGATGTTTATTGTCTTGCTTCTTTGTTTCGGGTGATTTTTGGTTTTAAAAAAAATTAAGAAGGCACTGAGCTTCCGCCGAAAAGTATTTTCAGCTGCCTGCAAGAATCTGAAAAGGAATGTACATTTTGGACTTTAAGAATCTACTAATATGATGCTACCATAGAGATAAAGAATGTATATTTGATCCAAAATGTATATAAATATTATCCAGCAATTAGTGTGCCTGTAGTGTTGCTTATCTAATTAGATACTAACTTACATGCATCAATTTTTATTATCAGCCCTTTCACACAAAACTAAGTAATATTGGGCCCGTACTGGCACGGAGAATAACCACCTAGTGGTAGAAATATTTATTGGTACATTTTTCTCAAAGAGGTAATAATCTATAAGCTTCGGCATACTCCCAGAGCACTTTCACTTCTCTTACTTGATAGTTAAGTACTTGCACATTGTGTTTTATCTCTTATTGAGTTTGCTTTGATGTTCAATCTCGATTTTAATTTGGTGCCCCTGCATAAATCCAACATTTAGGATATGTGGCTGACTGGTAAGAGGTGATCCTTACGTGTAAAAGTGTTGCATGGAGTTTTTAGCATTCCCTTTTGACTAGTTGGTAGTAGAGCATAGATCCAAGCATGAGCTCCTATAACGTGTTTATACCATGAAATGGTAGATTTTCTTTCAACTATTAGATGTTGGTTAAACCTTATATAATTTCCTTCTTTTTTTTTGTATTCGGCAGCTGTATCTCAATCTACCACACTACAGATATCTCCAGGAATAGTGGCGGAAAACTCTCCTGGCTCTTAGCCAGAAACTAAAGTCATTTGTGAGAGAGTTCAAACACATGGCTTGTCAAGGCTAAAAAATCTGAGGAAGTATGCCCATTCAGTAAAGGTGAAGTATCATATATCAATCCAAGTGGGCGTCCGCCGTAATGCTGAGGTCTGCTTCCATAGGTTGGCCACTTGTCCTTTGTTTCTCTGCTATTTAAATTCTAAGAACTGAGGAAACTCTGTCTGATTCTTCTCGTAGTCTATTTCATGCATTCCATTGAAAGTGGTTTAGCATGATAACTTTTTGTGCTTTGAAAAATCATAATAGATGAATAGCTGGCAGCTTGATATATTTGCTTCATGGGCTGCTTTTGTTATTGGTGAATTATTGTCTTTTATATAGATCTGACAATTTCATCAAATGCATTAAGATTTTGTCAAACATATATTTAACGTTGGTGTATGATATATAATCCTTCTTCTATCAATCCTACCCAGCTCTCAAGTCTCAGCACAAGTATGTGGTAAATCATTGCTCTGACTCACATGGTATGTTAATTGTCTCCACCTTCCTTATAATTCTTAGTATTCGTTAAAGTTGTATCTGTTTGCCTTGTAAAAAAATTGTAATGATTTGATGCATATCTAAAAATTTGGGTGCTTTATCACGTGCCAAATCTTTATTGTTGAGGAACATTTTTTCGAGATATAAACTTTCTGTTGTGTAGTATAATATCTAAAGCAAAGGTGATGACTGATGAGGGTGAATAGTTTCTAGTAAGACCCACTAAAAAAAACACTACTGGTATCATGGTATGACCTGTCTAATGAGTTGCTTTTTTCTTCAACATTCATGCCTTTTGAGCTCCAAACTGAAATATCATCTGAATGTAAAAAGCAACTAAAAAGGTGGATACCTCTTGAAAATAATATAGGTATAGGTGGTCCAGTTCATCTTTAATGTCTTAAGATAATGTGATGTATATATATATTAAAAAAAATTGATCAGGTAATATGATGTGTATAAAATTATTAAGGGCCCTTTTCAAATTTGCAGAAATAGGTCCCTTGAAATTGGGATGTTCGACCAGGCCAATGGATGAAACTAACCAAAGGTTCATGGGTGAGATCTATGTCACCTTTCGATCACAAGTTCTTGGATATTAGAATGGCCAGCTCGGCTAAGCAAACTCTTCAGGTCTCGCTGGATGAAGGTTTGTTTTCCCTGGATCAATCTGAAATTACTTCTTTTTGTAGTTTTATTGCTTTTGGCATTAACTCAATTAAGTAACCTTAATATTCTTTATTTGCAGAATTTGTTTCTATCATGTTATTTTTCTGGTACTGGGGATATTGTTAATTACTCTGGCATCCTTCCTTAGCAAGTCTCTAGGATTTTACTATGGCAGTGCAATGGCAGTAGGGTCACTCATTTTCCTTGTGATACTTCTTTTCCAGGTAACTTACATACCTTTGCATTCTCAAAGAAGTATTCATACTTTTGCAAAATTGTTCCTTTTCTGTGCAAAGAGGAGCCCCTAAGCTAGGATTGATGGATTCTTTCTGTTTTAAATATCAAAGAAGCATGGAAGGTCTTGCTGGGATTGTTATTTCAGTTTCAAATCTTGACATGTAGTTCAAATTTTGCAAAGTAAACTGTTTAGTTGATTTCAAAAGCTAAACTGCTTTTTTAATGGTGTCGCCTAAGATAATAAATTTTCTTCAAAATTAGAAATGTTTTGCAACAAAAGTATTACCTTATCCCCAAAAAACATAAAAAGAAGAAGAAGAAGAAATCTTTTGCACAACAAATGGCCGAGTAGCACCGTTAAAGCTTTGTGTTCTTACAACAAATTATGTGTGAACAGCAGATGGATGTATAAGTTGCAAAAATTCACCCAACTCTTATAAGAAGAAAAAGTCACCCAAGTGAAGGGGAGCCTTGGCGTAACTGGTAAAGTTGCTACCATGTGACCAGGAGGTCAGGGGTTCGAGCCGTGGAAACAGTCTCTTGCAGAAATGCAGGGTAAGGTTGCGTACAATAGACCCTTGTGGTCCGGCCCTTCCTACGAGGAAGACCCTGCGCATAGCGGGAGCTTAGTGCACCGGGCTGCCCTTTAGAGATGTACAAGAGGTCTCTCAGGGGTCGTTTGGTACGCGGGATAAAGTGGGATAAAACATGGTACTAAATTTATATTATGTTTGGTTGGAGGTATAAATGTATCCGGGATAAATTTATACCGTCAACCAACTTAATCCTAGGTATCTCATCTTATCCCATCAAACTTGGTATTATTTTATCCCACCTCCCAGCTGTCAGGACTATAATGTCGGGATAATCTAGTTCGCATACCAAACGATCCCTTAAAGCCTTTCTAAGGTAGGGGTAAGGCTGCGTACATTCTAGCCTTCCTGGACCCCACTTGTGGGAATATGTTTGTTGTTAAAGTTTGCTAAGAGAGTTTTATTTGTTCAAGTAGTTTAGCTTAGTAAAAAGATAAGTTGATCTTGGAGCCGATCTAGAAATTTAGGGTGCCCTATTTACAATTTGGACATTACCATTAGAAACATTACTCCAACTAACAAATGAATCATATGATGTATATCATCCATATCAACGTTAACTAATCAGAATAAACTTTATATCAATGTTAACTAATCAGAATAAACTTTCTTTTTTAATAACCGAAAAATTTCGGGGGCCCAAAAAAAGTACATGCTCAATGTTTTATGTTTGAGCTATATGCATAGCAGCTGTATACCATGCATGCAAGTATATATCATGTTTTAATGTTGAAGTTTTCTGATTGACATTGAGGTGCTTCTAATGACAAGGGATGAAGCTTCTTCCAACTGGTAGGAAGAATTCACTAGCAATATTCTTGTATTCATCCATTGTGGGAATCTTTTCTACTATAAGTACAATCCTAGTGTTTATTCTTTATGTCATTCTTTTTAAATTTCGTAATAACCGTTCCTAGTTTCTTTCATTTAGGTTGGAGTGGGATCTTTCTTTCTGCGCTATGTGTCACAATTGTTGCGTTCAATACTTAACGAGATTGGTATTGGTGAAGACATGTATAACCCTATATGTATGTTCTTACTGTTGGTTCTATTAGTTGTCTTATATTTTGGAACTAAGGCTCTATCCATTCGTTTCGTTCAATATATCGGTGTTAGGAAAACCTTTTTCTAAGGGTCCTCATGCCAATGAAAATCTACCTCAGATAGCTTGATATTCAGTGCCTCTATTTTAGTTAATGTCCAAAATTAATGTCAAAAAAGTGTATGTTGCAAACTCCTGTTGTTTTTTTCATGATAAGATAATTGAATTTTCGAAGTGCAATCTACCTTTTGGTTTCGGCATTGAGCATTCTGCTTTCCAGAGAATTTTGGGTGATGCACTGAACACTTTTTGCAGTTGCAAATTCTGCTGTTTTTCCTCGTAATAGCTGGAGCTTGGTTGGGAAGGGGAGCCTTGGAGCAATGGTAAAGTTGTCTCCATGTGACCAGATCACGGGTTCGAACCGTGGAAGCATCCACTAATGCTTGGTAGGCTGTCTACATCACATCCCTTAGAGTGCGGCTTTTCCCTAGATGCTTTGTGCACCGGGCTGCCCTTTTTTTTAGCTGGAACTTGGTTGGGGTTTTGGGTTGTTCACAAATTTGTACTTGCAGAAGATGGATCCATTGACATCGGAGTATCTCAATATGTCGGTTGGTCCATTCGAGTTTTTGCTTTGGGATTGATCATTCAGGTTTCCATCATGGCTAGGAATACTTTTTTTTTCCACCTATACATTTGATCCCCCAAAATTCTCACACTTTTGGTTGTCTGTAGCGCTTACCGGCTATGTTACTCGGACTCTCCAAAAGAGCTCCGCACCTGTGTCGGATCCTCCAAAAATGCACTAAAATTGGAGGATCCGACACGCACCCAACAACACTTTTAGAGTTCGAGTAACATAGCTTAGCGGAGTTAATTGGGCAGTTACATAGCTTTATTTTTTCTTCAGAGTTCTCTGGATCTTTTATTGGTTTTGGAGGCACTGATATGTGGAGTTCTGATTTTGCTAGTCTTGAGGAGATTATTCCGTCCCAAATATGTTTTGCGCTTTTGCAAGTGAGTCTGCCTTTATTTTTATTGTTTTAGCTCATTTCTCCCAATAATTTCTAGTTGATGCTTATGCAGCCTGGTCTTTTTATTCTATTGTTATGTATATAGGCGAAGGACTTTTGCTTTTGCAGTAACTTCATATTTTCACACTGCCGTTTTCATGCAAAGCAGGAATTTATTACAAATAGACACGCTTTATCTCTGGAGATGTCAGGATTCTTACACATCACTGATAAAGGGTCATATGGTTCCAGGACTTCCGAGAGAAATCGAAATGACACAATCGGTCGAGGTTAGACTGAATTAGTTATTAGTAGATGAAGTGAAAGTGCAAGGTGGAGCTTCTCTTACATTTTTTCCCCCTGCATGTTCTCCTATCAAGCCGTCAAGCTTGTTATCAGAGACAGATACATTCGATTTTACATTCCACAACACTTCTGAACGAAAGAAACTTTCAAAAGATGAGTGGAATAAGTTAGCTAGAGACACCACAAAGAAGGCTATGGAAGAGCTTGTTTCTTCCCCAGATTTAAGCAAATGGGTCGTTGCTCACGCAGATAGGATTACTTTGTATGAGTCCAAATTTAGATGACCACGACCATTGATGAGTACGACAAACGACGAGATCCTCGTAGCTCGACATTTTGCAGGAGACGACAGACGAGCGAACAAGAGGCCGCATGACTTTTGCAGTAGTGTAGGTTCATTAGGGAGCATTAGGAATATTCTTTCGAATATTCTCTATGATTTGTCTTTTAGGGCTTAGAAAGGGTTTGTCCCTTATATATATAGCGTAAAATCAACCTTGTAGGGGGCTGGGGACATTCTTCCAACTAAGAACACTCGTTGTAACACTTGTTTACATAAACAATTGATATCATTATTGTTCGATCATTCATCTTGATAAGGTCAAGAAGTATTACCCTTTGTAGTCACCTTGTATATCTTTTGTTCTAGATATTATTATACTTAACTAAGATTTACCCCTTCACTTTCTTTGATTGATTTATTCAAAAAGGTTTCAATATCTTTTGAGTCAAACAATTTGGCACCGTCTGTGGGGATTTCTATAGCTGAGATCTTAGTTTCGTCTAGATCCTTGAAAGAAATAATTACCTCTTCTCAGTCTCGCAAAGGCCAACAATGGCAGGAAAGGGAGAAGCAAGATTAAAGGCAATAGTAGGTGTCACGAACAACCTTCTGAATTCCCTCAACGAGGCCGGTAGGGAAGACAATGAAAATGCAACGCCAAGTGCTACAGCTGAGGGAGAGATCTCACCCCCCCTCCTCATGAAGGCGTGACTGTCTCGCGCGAGAGGGAAACCTCAACATCCGCAGCAGGAGAAGCACCAACAGGTGTGAAAAGGCTATTAGAAGAGTGGTTGACAAACACCTTGAGCAACATACTCGACAAACCCGCTCAAAGAGATATTGGAGACACAATACCCGCAAAAACCGCAACTGTCGTCGATGAGCCAGAAACTCCACGCACAGGTAACACTCATACTGTCATGATGCAGGTAATGATGCACTTGCGACCATCTTAAAGAAAATGGAAGTGATGGAAAATGAGAACAAAACGCTCCGCGACCAGATGAAAGAGCATCAGGAAAGGGTGGATAAAATACCGGGCACTTCAAAGTTGCCACCAAAATGCGACATGGGCCGATTCGTCGAACAACCATACAGTGAAGGGGCGGCTCCCCACTCTATTCCGAAAACCTTCAAAATGCCGCCATATTTGAAAATATATGATGGCACCACGGACCCGGAAGATCACTTAATCCACTACGTTACTGCAGTAAAAGGCAACGATATATCGAAACAACATGTGCCATCGGTGTTGCTGAAAAAGTTCGGCGAAACTCTGACAGAGGGAGCATTGACGTGGTATTCCCAACTTCCAGTACGATCGATATCAACGTTCGAAGAAATGGCAGATAAGTTCGTCACCGCTCACGCGGGAGCGAAAAAGGCAGAGGCTAGGGTAAATGACATCTTCGCCGTCAGGCAGACGACATGCGAGGGACTTCGGGATTTCCTAGCTCGATTCAACAGGGTAAGAATGAGCCTACCAAACGTATTAGAAGGGATGACGGTAGCAGCCTTCCAAAATGGGTTAAACAGAAACGGGTCAAAAGCAACCAAAAAGTTGCTAAGCAGACTCATGAAGTACCCTCCCACCACGTGGGAAGAAATTCATATGCCTATTGCGCCGAAGTAAGGGCAGACGAAGATGACCTAAATGGCCCGATCCAACGACTAACATCGGTCCAAACTGAAACAAGGAGAGATCGTTGCAACGATGGTCGAAGGGACCAACTACCCCATTTGAATCGAGAAAGGCACCAACCCTATATCCGAACATCCAACTCACCTCCTCCACGACATGCAGACACCACGCCTCGACAAATCGCGCCACCCCGAAACGAAAGAGGTATGCCTCCACTATTATCTGCTCATAACTTTTGTGTTTCTCCTTCAGAAATAGTGTATGCACTAGAAAAGCTCGGCACAAAGGTGCAGTGGCCGCAAAAGATGAAGTCAGATCCGAGCACCCGGAGATCGAACGTTCTGTGTGAATTCCACCAGGAAAGGGGACACAAGACCGAAGACTGCATAGGTCTGCGACAAGAAGTGGTAAGAATGCTAAACCAGGGACACCTAAAAGAACTGCTGAGCGATCGAGGACGGGTTAACTTCGCTCGTGGACGCAATCAACCTCAAGGACCTCCAAAACCATCGTCACCAGCTCGTACCATACAAATGATCATTGGCGGCAGCGATGATACGGTAATCAACCATGTGAAATTCACCACCACACACAAACTCAAACGTACAATCGCCCACTGTAAAGCCCCAGAAAATTTTGCTAAGTAATTTAAGATTTCGTGGTGCCAAGGTAGGCTAATTATTTTATTTTGTGTGCAAATGAGGGTTCATGATATAATGGATATCAATTGGATATGTTAATAAGCGTATAAGTCATATTATAACTGATTTGGGGTCTAAGGAGAGGCCTAAGTCTAAGCCAAGTTGGAAAATTTCATAATAGACTAAAGTTGTAAATGAGTACGCACAAGACCTCACTTTGGACAAGCATATCTACATTTATATAAGGTGTTGTGTGATGCACAACCTATCAAATTAAAGCCCTTTGAGTCTAGTTTCCAACACATCAAACCGTTCGTCATTTGGAGATCTGTACAGAAAGTTATGGCCATTTTACCGAACCTGTGTTAGATGCACGTCCGCGGCGCGGTCGCAGGAAAATTGAGAGTTTCTGCCTCCCGAGCGCGGCCACCACGTCCCGGGCGCGGTTTGACCGTGGTCGCGCGCCTAGCAGCCCTATAAATACCCCAAAACCGGGTATGGAGAGTCTCTAAGTCTTTTTTTGAGCTAGGGCTTGCTCTATCAAGGGGAATCCGTCCCATACTTCCCTCATATGAATCAAGGTAATATTTTTGGAGTATTTTGAGTTGATTACTACTCCTAAACACTTATATTAACAAAGATTGATCTTGAAAATTCATACATTCCCATTCAAATCCCTAAATTGATCAAGAACACTACAAGTGGGGATTCTCAAGATTCTTACTACAAGAGGTATATCTATCATCTCTATCTACTCTATGGTGATTGTTTATGTATGATATATACGTTAGAACTCATAGGATGGTGATTGGAAGCCATAAGTGTCTAACCTAGGTTGTGTTGGTGTTGTAGAGATTGTGAAATGGGTTAATTAAAGAGGTTGATGGTTGGATGTGAATGGATGGTCATACATATGTTGTTGGAAGTTATAAATTAGTTAGGAACGATAGTGGAATAAATTGTTGGTTAATAGTGATAGTTGGATGAACTAATACTATGGTTATGAGATGTAAAGATTTATACCTACAAGGTGTTTGATAATATGCCTAAATGACATAAGTTATGGAATTTATTACTAATATTGGCTCTATTGAATGTTGTATTGTGGATTGAATTGTCTAAGTGTATTGGTTCATTGTAGCATCATTAAGGGCAAATTTCAGGTATGTATGGCTAAAACCCCCCTCCTCTTAGAAATTGAGCCTCCATGGTGCCCGTGCAAATGTTGTAAGTCCGAAATTTGATCGATGTGGTACTTGTTATGTCAAATGAATTGATGTTGTGAAAATGTATGTGGAAGGTGTTTCTCCATGTGTTTAATGTGTTATTCTTTGTAAATTGAGGATATGTGGAAAACATGAGCTATGTGCTAAATGCCTAAATGTCAAGTCAAGGTTACATTGTGGTTAATATGCCGAACTAGATGAATTCCTCTTTATGCTTATAACTTAAATTGCTTTTGTATGTGCCTATGATCTTAAATGGCAAGGTCAATGTTGAAAATGGGAATAATGTGAATGTGAGTTACGAAAAGTGGTAATTGTGGCCCCAAGTGCCGAGGAACTAATACATGTGAAACCAAAGATTGAAGTGAGATGATTAACGGAAAAGGGTAACGTCTTGGCAAAACGGCTTAGCCGATCGGGCCGTGATCGGACGCCATGTTATACACACATGGTGGTAATGTATTGATAATTGAAACTGGAAAGTGAGAATGAAATAAGGGTAACGTCTTGGTAAGACGGCTTAGCCGATCGGGCCGTGATCAGACTCCTCTCAAGGAAGCGGTGGTAATGTGGATGATGATGCAACGATATGGAATGCCCCAACCTACAAATTTCAGAAATCATGTTAAAACTATGTGAACCTCTTAAATTGTTGACGTGGTGCTTATTTGAAGCTTTGTATTTCTTATGATTTCTTTGTACTCTTGTATGGTTGTTCTTTCTAACTGGATGGTGTTTAGTTATATATACTAGACTATTCCATGGTATTAACGTCCCTTTTGTTGGGGGCACTACATTTTTAAATGAATGTAGGTGGCTCCATAGCGGATAGTGTCGATCGCGTGTAGCAGAGCTTCCTCCTCTCAAAGTCTTGGTGAGCCCCTTTTTCCTTCAAGGGGTTATGTTGTACATCTTTTGTTGTAGATATCCACTTTTGAGGTATAGCCGGGGCCTTGTTGCCGGCGTTGTCATTGATCGCTGCCAACTCCACACTACTAAAAAGTAGGAAGAGAGGGCTGCAATAGCTTTTACCCGATATGAGGGTCGGGATCGATTTCCACAAGGAGCTAGGAATGGAGTCGAGTATCTATCTAGACTAGAGTTGTGTAATTGTTCCAAATGTCACTTCTAAATATATTCTGAATTTTCTTTAACAAATTAATATTATCAATTACAAATTAGAACTAAATTATGCTAATAAGAAAATTGCTAGAGATGAATCTAATGGGTAGAAAGGCACTAGGGTAGTGACGTTCACCTAGGTGGCTAATTGACGGGTAAATGCTTTTAAGGTTCGATTGACATGATTGGGGAAATATGCTATAATCGTTGCACAATTTTACCCACTCTCACACCTCTCGGTAGAGAGAGTGGTTTTGCCCAATTGACTCTCTCGAGACCAAATGAGTAGGCAAATTAGCTCAAGCAACTAGGATTCAAATTGGGTAATTACTCTCTCGAGGTTTAACCCTTTAATTGGGACTATCAATTCTCTTGAGTCCATCCCAATTCCTTGTTGGGTCTAACCACCGTGGCCCGCACAAAGTAGCACCGCGGCCGTGGTGGGCCAGCGCAGACCGCACAAAATGCAATGCGGCCGCGCTGGGCAAGAGGTCAATTTCCTGAAAAATCCTCACCGCGGTCCGCACAAAGTGTTACTGCGGACCGCATCACAGCACCGCGGACCGCACAAGGATGACCACGGTCCGCGGAGGGTGCTAAATCAAGGCACTGAGTTAGGGTTCTCAAATCTTGCAATTAGTTCAAGTTTTGTTTTTGCCTAATTAACGTCCCTGCTCAATTACCCATTTCATTACGCTCACAAAGCACTTACGCTCACAAAGCACACAAAGATTAACAGTTAAACCAAACTAACCTAGAAATTTAAGAATTACGGGAAGAAGAAGAAGCTACAGGCTAATGGACATGAAAATAAAATGAAATTATAAAATCAAACAAAGAAAAATGAGTGAAATGTTACCATATGTGGAGATGGAATGCAAGGAATCAATATAAGCAATGATTTACGTGAAAAGAGAGGGTGAACAGTAGATTTTAGGCCTATGAGAGTCAATTTTTCGAAAAGGGTAACCGGTGACCCCTGTGGTCTATTTATAGAAAAACATGTGGGACCCAGTCTTACCTACCAGTGCGGCCGCACAAAACGGACCGCAGACCGTGCTGGGTTTATTCAGAAGAAGTCTGAGAAGGCAACCTCCGCGGTCCGCACAAAACAGACCGCGGCCGCGAAGGTCCACCGCGGTCCGCACAAAATGCCATGCGTCCGCGGTGGCAAACTTCAGAGAGCATCCCATTTATCCTTCACCAGTGCGGACCACACAAAGTGCAATGCGGCCGCACTGGCAACTTCAGAGACTGTTCAATTTTTCCAAAATATTTTGCACTGTATCAACATAATCCCTACAACATCTCACAACTAATTAGCTCAAAAAACAATCCTACACTACAAAGAAAATCAAAGAAAACAAGAAGAAAAGGACATGGGTTGCCTCCCAAGAAGCGCCTGATTTAACGTCGCGGCACGATGCATGTTACCATCACATCACTTTAGATGAAGAAGTGCCACCACGTGGCTGTCATCAAATTTTCCAAGATAATGCTTGATCCGGTGCCCATTAACTAAAAAACTTCACCATTTTTGTTCCTTAGATCAAGAGCACCAAATGGGGTCACGAACACAACTTCAAATGGCCTACTCCACTTTGACTTGAGCTTACCCGAAAACAGACGTAATCGGGAATTGAACAAGAGAACCATATCTCCAACCTTGAACTTTTTACCCCGAGCATATTTTGTCGTGAAAGTACTTCATTTTGTTATACAAGGATGAACTTGAGTAGGCATGGAATCTAAACTCATCGAGCTCATTGAGTTGTTCAACACGAAGATTTGCAGCAACATCCCATTCCAAATTCAACTTCCTCAAAGCCCACATGGCCTTGTGCTCTAACTCAACCAGAAGATGACAAGCTTTTCCAAACACCAACTGATACGGAGACATATCAATCGGAGTTTTGTAAGCCGTTCGATAAGCCCATAGAGCGTCATCCAACTTTTTCGACCAATTGGTCCTATTGGCATTGACAGTCTTTGAAAAGATGCTCTTAATTTCCCTATTGGAGACTTCCACTTGACCACTAGCTTGAGGATAATAGGGGGTAGAAACCTTATGATTGACACCATACTTGGAAAGCAATGTGTCGAAAGCTTTATTGCAAAAGTGAGACCCCCTATCACTAATAATTGCACGAGGAGTGCCAAACCTTGTGAAGATGCTCTTTTTAAGAAATGCAACAACACTTCGGGCTTCATTGTTAGGCAAAGCCACGACTTCAACCCATTTTGAGACATAGACAATCGCCACGAGAATGTAAGTATTCTCACAAGAACTAACAAATGGACCCAAGAAATCGATGCCCCAAACATCAAAGATATCCACTTCAAGAATGGTATTAAGAGGC